TCCCTGACTTGGAGATTCATATTTTTCGTGTTCCAATAAAAACATTTTCGTCCATGTCAGAAGTCCAGGACGAGTTTAGGTATATTTAGCACCGAGTTGAAAAACATTTTTACTACTTTTTTTACTTGCGTATATGTATGTATGTATTTATATTCGAAGTTGTTACATGTACATAGTATGTATGTTTCAATCACACTTGGAGATCGTTTTGTGCGTTCGGGACGAAAGCTCAATTTTTATAGATTAATGTCATTGCAGCTGCTGCCCGCACACCGCGTTAGATTCGCCAACGCCAAATTGTAGAAGGCGTGTTCAATAGGCAGCAGCTCATAGCCGATATTGTTTATTTGATGCGGATCATCTTCTACGTCATACGCCTCAACAAAGTTCTGAAATATATTTTGTAATTTAAAAAAATTTTAGTTTTTCAAGCCACTACTTACCTCTCTATCATCGAATTCGCAATACAAACGATCAGTGATACCCCTAAAGTGTCTCACACACGCGTATGTATTGTTCCAAGCATCCTGACAATGGCAGTCTGATTCTGGCGTACACTGCGCTAATCGATCCTTGCGTGACCAGGGACAGCCTTCATTGTAAGTGTCGCTGTTACCCTCTCCCCAGTGTTGCACCAGCACGCTACGCCGATACTCTTTCCCACCCAATTCGCCGTCACTGGCACTTTGCAAAGTCACTTGTATTGGCAAGCCATCCATTTCTGTATGCGAATGTAGCCCCGTCCATTGAAGTATGGTTGGCATTAGGTCTAGCAGCAGCGTAGGTTGCGACACAAACACACCATTTGGCACGCCAGGACCGCGCACCATTAGCGGCACGCGAATGTCCGTCTCGTAGGGTTGTCGCTTATCCCAAGGCTGTGCATTTTGGCCCATATGATAGCCATTGTCCGATGTGTAAATTATGTAGGTGTTGTCCAGTTGCTGCTGCTCCGTCAACGCTTCAACAATTGCGGCAACCATTTCGTCTACAGCAAGTAGCGTCTCCCAGCGTTGTTGGTAGAAGTTATCAAGCAGCTTTACGGTCTCGCTTGGTATGGGACGTGTGGCGGCCACAAGCCAATGCTTTTCTGGAAATATATCGAGGGAAAAAATGTAAAATTTTACAATGAAAACTGGTGGCACTCACCTTGTGGCAGAGGTACGCGGTTGAAGTTTGGCGTTCGCAGTGCCTTCACATGCGCAAAGGCACCACGATGCCGCTCGGCTGGCGTATAGGGCGCGTGCGGCGCTGGAGGCGTGATCATTGCGAAAAACGGTTGCTGCTTGTTGCGCGTTTTCAAGAATGCCAACGCCTTATCACGCAGTAAATCTGTTAAATAAGTGTCTGTGTAGCTGACATTGCGTATATTTTCGCGTAGCGTGTAATTGTAGTAACGTGAATTGCCATGCAAGCCATAGAACTGCGTCCAACCCGGTGGCACCCGTTCGCCGCGAAACTCATTCAAGTATTTGCCACCGAAGAAGGTTTCGTAGCCGCCATCGGACTGCAGCAGCACAGGCAATGCTTGTGGTTCGATTTTTGTGAGCCAGCGGTGGCCATTGCAGCCTCCACTCAGTGAGTTGTTGGTAGTGCCATGATTGTGTGCGTACATGCCGGATAGCAGACTGGCGCGCGAAGGACAGCACAGTGGCGAGCTGGTGTACTAAATAAGATGGAAAGTTAAAACGAACCTTGAATAAAATCCTTGTCTGAATATTTACACCTACCGCATGACCGAATGTAGCGCCGGCTTTGCCAATCAGCTGTTGGACTTGCCTCATCGGTGTCATGCCCTCCAACGTCAGGTCTTGGTCATCGCTTAGTATTAGCACGATGTTGGGTTTTGCGTTTGCCTCACCGGCTTTTGTGGGCGTCAAGGACACCAGCAGCAAGTAAGTAACAACGGCCAAGGTCAGCTGCGATTTTCGCATGGGATGCATAACCAAAATAGTCCTCATGCTGGGACAGATTTTCAGTATCATCAGCGATGGATTCTTTGGTTTTCAGCGTTTTTGGATATTTTTGAGCTGCTCCGAAGTTAAATATCAATCAATTTGATCATTTGCTGCCTCTTGTTTTGCACAATGGAAACTAGATTTGCAAAACAAAACAAAGCGTGAAATGACATTGAATGTTAACAGAAAAACACTTGATAGAGAGACTTAATTGAGAACGTTGCCAGACCGGTGAATATGAGGATGATGGCTGTTATAAAAACAAGAAAAAAAAATTTTTTGTAAAATTATCTAAAAACTTGACCGTTTTCGGTAGTATCATAGATTCGGTTCCCCAAGTCCTAACTTACATTCACCAACGATAAAACAACAAACATTTAAAGGACTTAAGTTTATTTGCTCTAAAAATATTACGATATTGCATGTTTTAACCAAATAAGAGTGTGGATAAATTTAATTTTCTATGGTTTGGAACAAATGTATAAAATGAGAAGATTGAATGTATGCCATATACCTAAACTATTTGTTGAGAAGTCGTTATGCGCGGAAGAAGATTCGCTTAAACTACAATAGCAATTACAAAGGAATAATAAACCATAGCATTTGTTTAATGTCAAAGTGCCGCGCCTTTTGCTACTGTCGCTTTTATCATTCACGGTCCTCTTATACAACACGTTTTACTTCGAAGAAGCGTTTCAGATAGTACACTTGGCCGATGGTCATCAGCACTAGTACCAGCGCTTCGAAAGTGGACCACAAGACAACGCGCGAGTTGGTGCTCTCGTTAATCGAGCGATGGATTTTGTCACGCACCTGTGGAAAACGATGAAAATCCCATTTTATATACGGGCCATTTGATTTCTTTAAAATAATAAACTTACATGCATGTATTCCTGCTCATGCTTCACGCCCGTCAGCGTGCCAGACAGCTGCTGAATCATGTCCTCCAACTTGGTGTGACCCACCTCTTCTTCGCTGGGCGCACCGGCCGGACGATGCGGCGAATCGCTTACTTCAATCGAGAACATAACCAATTTTGGTGTCATGCTGCTACGCTCGTTGTTGAAGCAAACACGATAGACGCCTGTCGAGACAGCGGCGAAGGTATATTTGCCGGAAGATTCCTTCTCACTTTCGTGTATAACATTGTTATCCGGGCCAGTTATTTTGATATCAATATCGAGGAAGCCGCCTTCGATAACTTCGAACGTGATGCCTGCGGGGGAGGATAAAATAATGAAATTAGCATAGCTGTGTATTCTTATGGCTAAAAATACTCGCCGAATTTGGTGCCGCCTTCCACCTTCTCGTGAAAACACTCTTCAAGGTGTGCATCAACAGTGACGATGAACGCTTCGCTGGCACGCAGCAGTTGTAGAAGCACTAGCGCACATAAAGTTCCAAAAAGTTTGAGGTTCATAATTGCTGAGTATATGTATTCGAATTTCCACGATAAAATCTATAAAGTGTGATAAATTAGTTAAATTCTTCAATGTTTTTCTCTTCGAAATGATACCAAATCAGAGGGCCACGTATAAAAGCAGGTTTGTGACAGCAGAACTAGAAAAAAGAAAAAACAGCACTGTCAAAATGACATAAAGCTCAGGAAGTTTAAGTTGGCAGCATTGCACAGGCACAGTGGCAGGAGCAGATGAAGAAATGAAGAAAAATTATTAATAGGTACAGTTTTTCCATAAATTGTAAAATGTAAGTAAAACACCAAATGAGAATTTAAGAATTAGAAATGGAGAAATTTAAGCAAAATTGATTAAATATATTCAACAAATATTTAATCTTTTTCTAATTTTATATCAACGTTTGAATATAATTAATTGAAAAAATGTAGTAAAAATAAAAACTTAAAATTCGGTTATTTGTACAATGCTACTGTTGTGGTGGGCGGAAGAGGAGGTGTGTCGCCTAAAATCATATCCATTAGAAAGATCACAGCCCATACTTTAAGAAAAGTAAAATTCAAAAAATAAGCCGAATTTATTAAAAAATTAGTACTCGGAATCCAAATCATAAAAAAAAATTCCAGTTCTACAAATATAAAAATAAATTGAAAAAAAATAAAAGAACTTGCTGCATTTTATTTATTTTTTTTATTGTATTATTTTAAATAAGTCTATAAAGTTTTACACAATTATTTTAAATCTAGAAAACAGTTCCCAGACAAAAACGTAAAAGGATAAAAAAATATTAAAATTTGTACAACTTTTTGTAAAGGTGTTTTCACGAAATTATGGCCCAAATATAGTAAACCTGCGTTTTTATTTATTACTCTGACGTCAGGATTGTTTTTCAAATGACTTTGAAATTTTAAAGATATGATTAATTCAAAAAGTTATTTAAAACTATCAGTGCAATGTAGAATAACAATATGGGTACCAAATGAGAGGTACCAAATGGAAACAATAAAGTTTTTTGATTTACAAGGACGAATAGGTATTAAAAATGCGCTTTTAATAAATTTAATCTTTTTAAATTAATAAAGCTTGCAGGACGAAATTCGGTGATGAGGTCGTGCGTATATTAGTCCGCAAACAATAAAAAAGGCAAATTTTCAAGGATATTTAGGCACAAAATTTGTAAAGGGCATTTTCCATACCCATTCGTCCTTACGCACCAAAAAATCTGTTATACTTCTATAGAATTTTAATTTTTTCTTTAAAAGATACCCTTATTGTTACCTACATTGCACCGAACTTTTTAAATAATTTTTTGAACTTTTTTCGTGCGTAAAATTTACTGTCGCACGGTGTTATACATATGTAAGCAATGTATTTTTTTTTTGTTTCATTATCTTAGCATAATATGAATTAATTTTATTTTCTTTAATTTAAATTTCTCTTTTTTCATAATCTATTTTCAATTTTCGCATTATGATTTTTTTTATATATTTTTTTCAGGAATGGCCATTAGAATTATTTCACCGTTCTCACTGCGAAAACTCTCTCAAACGAGTCCGCGCCCGTGACCCCATTTTTCGGTTGTGCCATCCCAATTAAACTAACCACTTTGAAACTTATTGCACCCTTAACGAACGAGATCAGCTGTTGAAACACACACGCAGTAACAACAGCACATAATAGACACAATTAGAGCAAAGCCCAACTTACTCATTGCGTTGGGAGTGTAGGGAATGTAAAGAAAATAACACCGACCTCAACAGTGGGTGACTTTTGCGGCAACTGCGCATTGACGCTCCGCTGTGGATGCAGCGCGCACTGATAACTGGTCCATGACATTTGGAAGTGGAGCACAAGCGTTCATCCGGTTTGTGTGCTGGCTGGAAAGTCTCCACAGCATGTCAAAACGCGAGCGCCGTGCGCTGTGCATGTGTGGTTATGTATGTGTGCTGCGCGCGAGCAGAGGACAAGAGGCGACGGCGGATACACTTCGCTTGGCCAACATCCAGTGGCTGGCAGTCGTGCGTATTCATTCAAGTTTGCTGGACCACAGCGGGAACCAAGATAACACAAAGGCAAAGTGATCAAATTAAAATTAAATAGATTGCATTGAATGAAAACGTTGAAAGAAACTTTATTATAGTGCTGTAAGCAGATAAGGTGTGTATCGAGAAACGTACGAAAAGCACACAAAACGGAAGTGAAAATTAAATTCCTCAATTATGCGAAGGTGTGTGAGTACGCGTGACCAAATGCAAGTGTGTTTTCGATGCTTCCCGTTCCCGGCAGCCATTGTGTTAGACGTTTGACATTCGCTGCGAAAAGTATGCGAATTAAAGTGCTGCGTTGAAATTGTAAAAGTTTGTGAAAAATTGTGAACTATAAACCAGCAATATCGACTGCACAGCATTCCGCCCACTCGCAACCCACCCGCGTGCCAGTGTGAGCATTCAAGCGCATAAAATCTCGTACCTGTAGTTTGCCCCAATAATCGGCAGCCGCAGCACAGGTGTGTAGCGATGCGAAATCCTTATTAATTGCACACATATTACAACAGCGAACCACAATGCGTACAGCTATAACAATAAACACAACAATAGAAACACCAATAACATACAGTTGAAACTATTTTAAGAAGAACAAATAACTGCAGGTGAAATTGATTGCACTCGTTGGCTTAACGAACACATTTGCTGCCAATGCTGCATAGTTGTCGTTGTTGCCACAATACTACACAAGTGCATAAATGTGTGCGAAATTCTCTTCTACCTCCCAGTGCGTGACTTGTGAGATTTGGGTGTGCAGCCAGAAAATTGCTGTGTCGAATGGGATTTGGTGTGTGAATTGAAAAAATTGCAGCACTCTCAATAAGCAAGTGAAATACTATAAAAGCGAGGAAAAAATAAACAAGTGCGAAACTTCATGTATGTACATGAAGTTAAGTGAGCAAGAAATCGGTGTAAGAAAAAAGTTAGGTTATGTGTAGTGCATATACAGCGAAAACAGGAATTGAATCAATGAAGTGAACACTGGTGCGAATGAGTAAATTGGGAAAGAAAAACAAAAGCGTTTAAAATAGAGTTAAGCGAAGCAACTGCGAATATTGAAAGCGTGAAAAGTGCAAAAAGTCGTAGCATAAAACAATACTAGTGGAACTAAAGCGGGTGAGGGTGACGAGAGAGGGAGCTAAACGTTTTCTATACGCTTCCGGTGCGGTCGATCCTTTACTTTGCAGCCATTTTTCTCCTTGCTGCCCTCGCATAGACACCTGCCGCTACGCCTCCCGCAGTGTTTGTGCGCTGCAATGGGTGCAATGCCATTAAAATGCATGAATTGGCATAAACAAAGGGTCTGCAGCTGGTGAGTTGCAAAAACAAAAGGTATGAGAATAAAAACAAAAACAGCAACTATGATACATATGTAAGTATTTTGTAAGGGGGCAGTGTGTACAAGTGTAAGTGATTTACATATATATTTGCGGCATCTGCGACTGCTGCGAACAGCAGTAAAAAAGTGTGAAAAATTTTGCAGAGAAGGCAAAAATCGCATAATTATGTGAAGCTACTGAAGCTTAGAAAACAAAAGAAAGTGGGAATGAGAGAAATGAAAACGGAAATAGCTCTGTATGTATGTATGTATGTATGTATGTTAGAGTGAGCATAGACAACTGGCATTTAGTATACCCTTTACAAACTGGTAATTTTCACAAAAGGCCTTAAAAATTGCATGAATTCCTTTAAAAAGGTTTCACTAAATCTAAATTACTTATTTACTTATCCCATTCATGGTCACCTTTAAACAGTTTTTTAGAGATCACACCATTCCAGTAGCCGAATCAGTAGTGAAACGTCGTTGCTCTTAAGTTTAAGAAGAAATTGTGTGTTTTTCCGTATAAGGGCTGCTGCCTAATTGGCTTGCAACCCAATAGACTAAGGGCTGGTTACTCCAACTCAACTTAGTTTAGCCAATTTTTTAGACTTAGTCAAGAATAAGTCGTGTAAAGAGTAGGCTAACTTTTAACTTAAGTCCAAAAAATGGCTAAACTAAGTTAAGTTTAGTTGCAGAAACCAGCTGTCTGGTTTTATATATCTCAGAAAGCTTTCCAGTTGCTAAAGTATACTTTTAGATGAAGCTGTACAACGAGCTAACCTTTTCCAGCAATCACTTCAAAGCCACCAATAAGATTTAACAAGCTGAATAAATTTTAACTGCTGATTAGACCACAAAAAACTTTTATTTAGAACTAGCAAATGCCCGGTGTGCTTCACTGCGCCTTAAAAGTATTTTTGTGTTGTTATTCCCTCCCAAAACTCGTATGGGTTCATTCATAAAAAAACAAAATAGATTTAAAGAGCTTTATGAAGTGAGATTTTCAAACAAATCTTTGATTTATGAAACACACTTTATTTCTTATGAATAATGGTGTCAGTTTATGTATTTATCAAAGGTATTTAAACCTTATAATTCGATTCTACATTACGTGCATTTTCGTAAAAGGTGTACTAATTCAGTATTTACCTTATCTTATCACTTTGACTGAAAAAAAAACTTTTCAAATAGTTGGCAACCGCTACAAAAATAATTTCGGCAGTAAACTTTTTCAAATCTTTTTAGTTTTATTCCCATATTGTAATATTTCATTTGTTTTATGCATTTAGTAATTCAATCAAATTTTTTCAAACAGGTGGCAACCCTCATCTAAAATATTTTTGGTAGTAAACTTTCCTAAACCTCTTTAGTTTGATACCCAATATTTAATTTATCTTATCAATTAAATCAAATTGGAAATTTCAAACAGATGGCAACCTTCCACAAAAATTTTTTCGACTGTAGGCCGTCTTAAATATATCTCTTTTATTGCAATATCTATTTTAACTTATAAATCTAATTAAACTGCAATTTTCAAGCAGGTGGCAACTCTATAATTATTATTTTTCCGATATTTTAAGTTAGACTTTTAGAAATGTATCGGCGAAAACTGATTTCGATTCGAGTTTTCGAGTGATGCGCGTACAAACATACAGACAAAAATTCAAAAATTGTTGATTTGGCTTCTGTTGCTCTAGTAAAGACCCCGCATATTAATTTTTCCTTAAAATCTATAATGTAGACATCGGCTTGTTACAATTTTACACTTAACAGAGAAAAGAAAAAAGTGTAGAAACTTCAGGTTGCGAAAATTTGGTGTTTTGTATCAAAAACATTATTTTGCACTTTGTAAAGGGTATACAAACTGACCAGTTGCAGAACTTGAAATACCTTAACAGTTTCTGTTGCTTCGTATAGCTAGCGGCAGCATTATGAAGTAGTCATTGTAAGGGAACAAAAAAAAAATACTATAGCAAAAAACCCTAATAGGGAGAACTAACAAACAGTGAAAGCAAAAACACCAACACAAATACAAAAGCTGTGCCATTTAACAACAACAAAAAAGTGTTATTAGTGCCGGGAAAAAATTGAAAACTTTACACCAGCCAACCAACCAAACTGAATACGTGAAGGATAGTTAAAGTTAGTGTAATTATGTTGAACGCATTCACTGACACCTTTGTGCGACACAGTTAGTACGTGGGTCCAAGCAAATGCCATGCTGCAGTGAACAATCTGAGAAGTCACGCGTGCATACCAGGAAGCAAGCGTACAATAGTAAAAAACGAAACGCACAGCTGAGACATTTACGTTGAACAGGTGCCAGTTGGACATAAAATAAAGGGTAGTGACATACCACATAAAAAATGTCACACTACACCAACACTCATCGTGTTACATCCACCATGACAGTTGTGTGCACGCCTGTTGCTGGCCTAATTTTTATGATGAGCATGTGCGAATCCTCGAGGCTATAACTTCAGGTGAGTTAAAGTAATTTAAGCATATAAAAAGAAGGGTTAGATTTGGTCCTTTAATTTCCTTTTGCATGCACGCTGATTGTTTTCTGTCCATTTTTTATGGTAGCACATTTTTGACACATTTATTCCCTTACTTCCGCTTTTTATTTATGTAAATTTTTTCTTATGACAATACGGGGAACTTGAGCACTTCGTAGAAAATTGTAAATAGTTATTTTGCAGCGTTAAAGCTTTCGCAACCCGACTTATCATTAAACATCGAGTTAGGGAAATTTCCACTTGTCATGTAGGTTAAATAATACCGACATTGACGCGCGCGCTTCATCTTACGAAATAATCAATCTTCATGTCAACAGTGCCAAGCGTCTATTTCCACTTACAAATATAAAATTTCAACAAGAGCTGCAGAAGGCAATCAAACAGCCAATTCCACCCAGAATTGACATAAATTTATACATTGGAAATTGAAAATGTTGAATAGTGTGTCAGTGAGCGTATGTGGGCGTAGTGTCGTAGCGTATAAACATACGTACAAACGTAGGAAAAATACTGCAAAGAGCAAATAAAAATGTTAAGTATGCGCATTAAAAATGAGCAGAACCCATGTAATGTTCGTTGGCGATTTATCGCGACATAAGCAGTAAAACAGGTGGCATTCGTTGTTGAGTGAGGTACATACAAAGTTCGAGGCGTGGTTTTCCTTGTAAAAAGGAATGAAAATAAATGAAATAAAAAGAAAAAAAATCTAGCGCGCATTTTTTCCACAGAACGAGTGCCTTTTTTTGCGAATAGATGCGTTTCTGCTATGTCGTTCATTTGCAAAATGACAACCCAGCAAAAGTTTCCAATTCATCTTGCAGCAAGCAAATTATGTATATCGATAATCTTAGGCTGCTTACGCAAACAGTTAAAGGCGCATCAGGTTGAAGCAGCGTCGTGCCCGCATTGCGACTCTTCACTGAGCGTGAATAAATAATGGGGCACGAGCAAATTCAATGCAAATTTCTTAGTATAAGCGATATAGGGACTCGATAGAAAGTAAGTACTATTTCAACATCAAATATATTTTTGCTTGATTAGAGAAAAAGTGAATGGAATATAGTGTAGCGAGCGACATTTTAGAAAGCACATTTTAATGGGATGCTCTCGTAGCATTTCGGAAAATTACTTTATTACACCTTTGAGCTTATTTTTCGCGTTACGATGCTTTATTGCCGGCTTGCGTATTTTATTTCCATGCCAGAAATGCGTATTCCTCTAAATAAACCATTTCAGAGCTTTACATATTGTCGCTCGTATGCCAGAAACATGTATGTGTAAAATTGATAATTTTGGGAAATCAAGCTTGAAAGTCCTTTTTTACGAGACTTAATCTCTACATTTATGCAATTCAAATTGTAAAATATGTGGTTTCCGTTTACGCATGGTGTTCTGGGTTTTGGTATAACATAGAATATCCAAAGGTTAACCAAGTCAACCCAATAACTCAAAACTGATAAGTTTGCACATTCATGCTTCTGGCATACGGATGGCGATATGTACATGCACGTATATGTACATATATGTATGGGTCCCTTGGTAGCCTTAGACAGTGAAATTGCGAAAAGGTGCTTAAGAGGTTAGATTTTAATGTTTATCTTTCTTCCAGTGCACCATAATAAAAACTAGATGTGTAGGCATAATTCTATTTGCTTCTTGTGTATTGCTTGAGGGCCATTTGTGATGTGTGTCGTTTGATATTGTATAACAACTTAATTATGCATACACATATTTTGCTTAAATTATCTGCCATTGCCACCTAAATCAAACATGGAAGCCACAAAAGGGACACGCATGTCTAACTTCAGATTTCCCTATTGCTTTCGCATACTTGTTTACCATTTCGTTATCAAGAATATGTATGCATACATATGTGTGCAAAAAGATGCTTACATTAATTCCCACACAGCTTCAAGAGCACTGATTAGTGTGTAGAACTGGGGAATGAAATGCTTGGGTAGTAAACTGTTATCGTTTTCACTACGCTTACCTGGATTATACAACAGCGCGTTTGAAGCAAATACATTTAAATTTTTTTTCTCTCTCTCTCTCTTTCTCTCTACAAACGCACAACACTTATCCANAGAAGCAAATACATTTAAATTTTTTCTCTCTCTCTCTCTTTCTCTCTACAAACGCACAACACTTATCCACACATGTTCATTGGCTACAGCTTGAACGCACCATAGCCCAAAGTCACAGTGGTGTCGCTTGGGAACTACACTCTGTGTTCAATTTCGCCCCCTGTATTTGTTTATTTTCCTCCTTCGCGCGAAATCCTGCAAAGTTTTGTGTATGGCCAGCTTGGTTTGCTGCCGTGGTTTGCGCGTTGGCTTCAGTGGTTGGCGATAACGATGAAAGTCATAAATTTTTATATTGTAACATATTCGCTTTTATTGCGCGTTGCCACCTGCCTGGAAAGATGGATGGAATGCGTCAGGTGTTCCGGTCAGGTAGCCAATATATTTCTCCTCGCATACATTGCGATAATAATACAATTCTAAGTACATATGTATATACATTTTAACGGTTTTCGTTGCTGTTTTTCTCCTTTCTCATCTAATACCGTTAAACTAATGATATTGCCTCGTTGTTTGCGTAATTTGACAAATGTGACGAGCTAAATGCGGTCAAACTAATGCCATGCCATGCCAAAGCATTCGCTCGATTTCTAAGCGACTTGGCAAGACTCCTTAGCGGCATCAAGAAAACCCAATTCACACTGCTCGCCTCGCACTCCCACTTGATTTATGTCAGTAAATTCACAATAAAATTAAATTTATTAATTTTTCTCGCTCAACGGAAGTGTAGCTTCTTCGACTGCATGTACAATGTTTAGCAGCAGGCGTGTGAAATTGGCAAAGCGACCGAATCATTACCATAAATCGCTCGGCAATCTTTATAAATCGTCTATGTTGTGGGATCGTAAAAAAGTTTTTCCGGGCATTTGATGGGCAATGGTGGTGAGATTGCTTTTCGCTTTTCCTTCTTTTTCTGAAACAAATGCGTTTTCATCTTGCTTAATGCGACTGGGCTATGATATCTGTCAGAATTACATTTCATTGAACTGAGAGTTGCAAAATAAAGCACAGGCGGTGCTGATTTGTGGAGCGAAATGGAATTAATTTAATGGTGTGGCAAGCATTGAATAGCAAAGTTTTGTGGTGATAAGATGACAAAATGAAAGGATTATGCAAAGTAAAACAGGCTTTAAAGTGAGCATAAAATAAGTGTAATAAAAAGAAAAAAAATAAGGGTATGAATTCGAAAATTAGAAAAAAACGGAAAATAAATAAAATATATAAGGCGTGTGTGAATGGGTAACAAAGTTCTCTGGGGAAAGCTGTTGAATAATATAAATCTGTGTCTGTTTATACTGCGACATTTTTGATTTTAATCAAATAATCCTTTTTAATGCCGGCTTGAGGGCAGTTTAGTTCTAAACTGCACGACAAACGAGACGGACGTCGTGGAGCTAAAATTTAATTAATCCCCTGAAGACGATCTCCGGAGGAGATTCAAATATATTGGGAAATAATGTATTTGATTGTGTTTTAATACCATTAACACCCTGACTGTTCAATAATATTTTTACTATGGTGAGATAGTTTTGCCAATCTGCTGTGTAAAATGAAATATTTTTTGACAGCAGTAAATTTTTGATAACCGCAGATTTATGCGGAATAAACTATTTATTACAAATTGAAGTGAAATTAATATTTTAAGAAAACATCTACCAATTGATTACAATTCATCAATTTAAGCTTTTATTTAACGAGAAATTACACACATCAACAATCTTTGTGATCGTAAAAATTTGTTGTCGAAAATTACACTAGCCTCATCAGCTACTGAAATTTCATCACCTCATACTTCTCAAAAATTTACTCGCCGCGAACTTTGTTACCGATTCACTCACGCTCATAGTAAAAATTGCATAAAGCAACATCAATCCCAGCCCTTAATACTGTGCTTTGAAAGTACGAAGTAACACAGCTTTCAATTTATTATTTGCGTTTCCCACATCTCACCTATTAAGTCATGGTGAAATTATACAAGGTGAAATAATAAGAACTTAAAAAGAGACTTATATTAATTTGACAGTATCTTATTCGTAAATTTGCTTTTATTTATTTTTTTTTTAAATGGCCGAATGACAGAAAATAAAGCGAGGAAGCTAGCTGTTTTATTACTTCACATGCTTTGCGCCATGCTATTAAGTCCCTAAATTGCAAATGTTCCCAGTCGGGGGAGTTGGTAAAATAAATTGTATACTTTATCCCGTTTATGCCCATTTACCCGGATCGTTCTTACTCATTGCTTCTGTATTGGGCCAAGCAAGACCGATTGATTGTCCATTTACTGATATGCTTGATAGCCAAATATTGCAGAAACACTTGAAACAGGCCAGATGAAACGACTTCCTTATACTCCCTGCCCTCTAAC